GCCCCCTTGCCCTGAAGTCACTGCTTCCACTGGGAGAGAAGGGGTACTCTGCACCTGTGACCTTAGTCTCTGAAATACTAAGTTAACTGTTGCTTTGAGCAAAACCTGAAAAAAAAAAAAAACCAGTTTAATGAAAACACTTTTTTGTTTCTATTAAGTCTGTACAGTATAAATAATTATAGGGTTTTGTTTTTATGCTTATCATTCCCGACCTCTTAGGTGGTCAAGGGGATTACTGCAATCAGGAAGTGCCAACAGAGAAGTGTTAGTGGAATCTGCATTGGAGAGAATGAGTCTCCATGACTGAGGAGTTATGTTTTAGGTTTTATAGGAAGGAAGGCTATGGAAGTCTGGTGCTAGTGAAATAAAAACATAGCAGTTTCAGACGATAAGCGAAATTAAGGTTGTTTTTGTTTGTAGTTTAATGTTGTGAAGAAATCCAGGGATCGTTGTTTCCAAATATGGTGCTCTGATATTATATTTCAGATGAAAGAAATTTAGACAGCAGAAGATGCTGGAAGAGGTTTTACCCTGACACCTCCTTGTCTGCTAAAGTCTGGACCCAATGATGAAGAAAACAATCACTCAGTCCCTTCCCTGAGTTTTCATTAACTGAACTCATAGTGCAAGAAGAAAGACTTAAGTCAGCCCACATTCCTGGACAGTCTCTTGTCTATTGTGGTCTTGTCTATTATGGTCCATCCAATCCAGTCATTTAAAATCCATTTTCTGCTCCTCTGGAGCCCAGTGGACTTTGTCCCTGGCCATTACATGTTTCTCCAAGTTAACTGCTTTCTCTTCGGATTCCTCAGAATTGACTCCATTCTAGATTCTCTTCCTCTCCTACAGAAAAGTGGTATGTAACCTTCTGAGTCATGTCAGGCTAGTGGGTAATTACATTCTGTGGTCCCCTCCCTGCAGATAACAAATTTGTGTATCCTTTCTCCTATTCCAGCAAAACTTCAGAGGGCAAAGGGAAGACTTTCCTTTTGACCTTATACTTGGTTATATATATATTTTTCTTTTTTATAGTTGCTTAGGATTTAGAAGGTCAGTTGAAAGCCTTCCTCATTCACTATTCTCAAGGCTGAAATAACTTTCCTTCTTAAAGCATAGTTTCTGGAGGGTCTGATATTATGTAAATCACACTGAGAATTGTTTTTTTTTTTGAATTTTTATTCCAAAAGAAAATTTACTTTTACTTGCTTTATGAGAAATGGTGCTCCCCAGTTAATAATTATCTGCTGAAAGAAAATTCTGAATTAGAAACATGAAATAAAAACTTAGGTATCTTCAAGTCTGTCTGATTCCCTAAGGCAACATTTTGTTATGCTTTAAATAACAGCATATCCAACCAACAGTCCATCAATTTCATATCAAGGCTACAACCAATAAAATGTTCAGGAAAAATAAACCTTTTAAAAAAGAAATTTCCCAGTCTGCCAAATCGTAGAGCTTTGTAATAAAACACAAAGGAGGTGAGGCATAGTTCATTTGGCTTCATAATTCTATGAAGACGTTGAGGTTCATTTGATAATTATATTTTTCCTTTCTCAACTTAGTTTTGAAGAAATTAATAACCATTTCTTTCTTGGAAAATTTCATTTAAATCAATGTATCCTGTAATACTCACAGTAGTGTTAGAATAAACATGTTCTACCCTGCTAGGTAATAAAGATGATATAGATACAATTTAATCTCAATTTTGTGTAATTTTTACTTGGCTTTTGCTGTAACACTCTGTTCCTACAATAACTATGTTATTAGAGTTAGTTTTTATAGTGCTAGAAATTTCTGCCTTTTATATTATTGTTGTTATTATGAGGAATGGCATTAAAGATGACTCATTCTATTTTCAACAGTGAAATCCCTGTATAAGAAATAAAATCTAAGCTAATGTAGTGGATATGTGCTTTTCTTTATTCAGTCAAACATGTGTATATTAATATATGTTGAGTGCTATCAGTAGGCATTGGTTTATATATATTAGAAATATAGATGTAAATGTAATAGATGTTAATAAGCTTCTTAAGAAGCTTATACTATAGTAGGATGAGGCAGACAAAGAAAACATTAAAATATGAAATACAGTAAACAGTGGGAAGTGCTATGAATAAAGACAAAACAGGGAAGAGGTGAGTGGCCATGAAAGGATATGGAGAGGGCATTTTTGGTTTTTTGATTGATGGCCTTATCTTTTAGGAAGATGTATACTACCTGAAGAAAGAGACCCTGCCTGATGCAGCTTGTCATCACACCCTTGTATATGTCATCACATCGGCACTTACAAATACTAAACCAATGGATGAACTTGGTCTGCAGTGAACCCTTCCTTTATCTGATGTATTCTTTTTTTCCCCCCCATCATACTTTCTAGTATATAATTTAACGCATTTCTTGTTTATTAGTGGTCATCTTCCCCACTTAGCTACAAAGTAACCTGCACAAGCTTAAGAAATTTTTATCTCTTTTGTTCACTGAGGTATCCCAAGTACCTAGAACATTGATGGCCCAACAGATAGTAAAGATTTAGTAGTTTTTGAATGAATGAATGAATGAATGAATGAATGAATTTTATGACATACTTTTCCTTGAGGGGGAACAATGTAGCTATTAGCTTATGACATATGAATTTTGCTTTCTGATTTGGGCAAGTCATTTTTTTTTTCTGCCAACAACAAACATTCTGACTGCTAACGACAAATTCACAGTTTGTGTGCTTAATAATGCTATGAATAAAATGCTTAGGAAGCAAATCCTGATGCCACATTCTGGTATACTGGGAAATCATCAACTGTTAAAATATATTAATATATTGATATTCAACTATCAATGACACAGTTTCCCCTAAATATTTAGGACTTTTAAAACAGTCCTGATTAACACAACTATGATAAGTCATCAATTTTTTGAATAAGAAGAAAAGAGTAAGTAAAGATAAATGAAACACATTTTTAGGTAGACTTGACAGTAAATGTTTTTACTGGGTGAAAGGCACCTCTTTTTTTTGTTGTTAATTTTTTAAAATTTGTTATTTTTAGTTATACATGATAGTAATATGTATTTTGACATATTATAGGTACATGGAGTATAACTTCCCATTTTTGTGGTTGTACATGATGTGGAGTTACATAGTCGTGTATGCATGTATAAACAGGAAAGTTATGTGTGATTCACTCTACTGTCCTTGTTTGTTTTTATTTGAGTTGTACCTACAAGGAATTTTCTGGCGAAGATAGTGGGATTATCTTTGTTATCCTAAGAGAAGGATTCGAGGTGTAAAATAGGTACAGACAGTCTAGAAATGCCTCTTGAAGATCCATTTCAGAAGGACATAAGACAATGAAGACTCGATAGTAACATCGTAATCATTTGGTGATTACGGCGTAAAAGTCAAATGCATGGTGCTTTCCTTCCTGGCCTTTTTAAAATAACTAGCAACTTGTTGACAGCAATCTGGAAACATTTTTGTTCATGATTTATATATGATTATTATATTAGATTTTGTTTTCTTAGGGTCAAGACATAGACTTTTAAATCACAGCCCATGTGCAGGGGGCAGGTACTCTCTCTCTTTTTTTTTTTTAGAGAGAGAGAATTTTTAATATTTATTTTTTAGTTCTCGGCGGACATAACATCTTTGTTTGTATGTGGTGCTGAGGATAGAACCTGGGTGCACGCATGCCAGGCCAGCACGATACTGCTTGAGCCACCTCCCCAGCCCAGCAGGTACTCTCTTTAAAACAGTGATCAATATCCCTAAAGCCATTTCAGTGTATGTTAACTTAGTTTCATTTAGAAAGTTATGGTCATTTATAAAGAACTTAAAATCACATCATAATAGGTAAAGCCCATGGGGACACCAAATTAAATTAATTTTCATATTTCTAATTTACTTCTTTGCTCCTTTTCCTTGTTTTGCTAGGCACATGGAGAAGATTCTATGCTTACATTGGAAATTTTCACAGTTTTTTCCTCAAAACCCTAGTTCAATGTAATGCATTACAGAGAAGAGTTTTATGATGAAATAAATTAGAAAATACTGTATATAATTTTTCTTCTGTTAGAGAGTTCCAGTGTCAACTAAGATTTAAATAACTCTAAGAAAGTTTGCAATAAACATCTTTAACTTTCTTTAATAGAAAATATCTGAAAGTTATTTCTCTTCAGTAGTCTTTTTTAGTGTAAAATAACTATTTTTTAAAAAAATGTATATCACCTATTATAAATCATGGCATCAACAAAGAAAAACATTGACAATATTCTTTTAGACTAAACTTTGGGAAATACTACTTAATATTACATGATAAAATGAAGCTACATATTTTAAAAATATAAACATTTTTAAAAAGTAAATTAATTTTCCCACGTAGATAGTAATTTCAGTACTTGTTTACAGATTTGTTTTATAGATTCCCAGAAACTATAGTGGTCAATCACTTAAGTTCTAACATACAGGTACTTACTAGCACACTGCTATTCTACCACATATGTCCTGTTACCATAGTCATAATTCACAAATCATAGTTCTTCCTGTGATTCATGAGGTGTGGCTCAGGGGCCTATGCATTAAGAGAGGACACTTCAAAGAAAACTCCAGGACCCTCAGGAACCACACACACATCTAAGCTTATCCATGGTTCATGGTAAACATCATTATGGATAATTATCTTGATCTTCCTCATAATGTTTGCTTGTATGAGTTCCAAACTAGATTTTTAACTACTACCAAGATCCATATCTTTCATATTTCCATTTTTTCTCCTGTCTACTTTGCATAAAGCTAGTGTCATTTTGAATGTTATTTATTAATAAGGGAACATCTTTTTCAATGCAATAGCCAGGTGGAAACTTCTCTTATTTGCAAAATCTTTATATTATTATGTTACCAAATCATACCTTCACTTGCCTATTTGTAAAGAATTTTACTTGTTGAGATGAATAATATTATCTAGAAGTCTAGAGGTTAAGTCAGAGAAGCCACACTAAATATGCCAATGTCATAAAATAAATCATTTTAATAATTAATATACATAAATAGTTTATGGTAGAAACAATAAAGATGTATCAGCTCTGCACATTGACTTTCCAAATAATTTGTAAGACTATACTCATCTTATTACATTCAAAATAATGATTGAACATATTGATTATAATTTTTTTCTGAAAATTTTCTTTTTATATTCTATGTATTTACACAGTACTACAGTAATTTGTTGTATAACAGTGCTTGGTAATCTTGAAGAAATGAAATAAAATTATTCTAATGGTATGCAGAAAATAAAAATAAAATAATTAAAACCATTTGCATATCTTTTATGAAAACAAAATATTTTTACTTTAAAAATAAATTATGCACTTTATATTGAAGTGTTATTCTATTAAAGTGTTTAGAAAATAGTTACATTCATTTTTGGCAGTGTGCTCAAACATTCTTATTTGCCATTTCCTCATGCATGATAAAATGAGGTGCAAGCTGTTCACATGTAAGAAAAACAGCTTATTTTCACAGGCAAGGAAATGATACATGAAATAGAATTAATGTTAAAACTCAAGTGTCATATGATAGAGATACAAAAATTCACTATGAAAATATCTTCTTGAGGCCTTTGAGGTGACACAATCTTTACCTATATCAAAAGTAGTTTTAAAATCATGCTACCCTGTCATTTCCATCAAATCAGCATGCTCCTCAATTGCTGATCATTGCTCCCACTTATAATGTAAAGCATTGTGTTTGGTCAACTGAAGGAAGCACAGCAGTTAAACTCAAGACTGACCACCTTTTATAAAGGATCCAGAGAAATAAACATCTCCATGGCCTCTAAGTGTGGCTTGCAGAAGCAGTCAGTACCTTTGGCATGGAGCTGGACAATTTTCCATGTGGCAAAAGTCTCTGGACTGGTACAACATGAAAATGAGCCCTGTGTTTATGGCAGTGATATTTCTGAGCCAAATTTGCTGGTTTACCTAGCAGACAGGTGAAAGACTAAGAATTTTTAAGTTTAACCAAACTGGAACTATTTGTAGTTATCCAGGAATAACACCTGAATAGCAATTTGGAGATGAACGTGTTTTGGGCCGTTTCTTCTTTGTCTTACTTTTCTTTTTCTTTTTCTCAGCTTTGTTTTTGCTTGCCTTCTTTTTCTTGCTTTCCTCTTTATACCAGGGTCCCCAGACTCCTCCATTGAGCCGTGGGTTACTCCTAGGATCTTTGGGAGGGTATCTGACAGGGACTGCAGTCTTGTTGAACTGTGACAGCCTCCGTAGGAGCTTCTTCACAATCCCTGGATACCTGCTGGATAGGTCCACCCTTTCATATGGGTCAGCTGTGATGTTGAAAAGCCATATACTTTTGCCAGTTGACAAGGTAATCCGTTCATTGTGCCACCGGTTTGGCCCTAGGTTGCTGAAAGACTGAGGGGGAACCCAGTCACTGTAGCCAGGATTTCCTGTGAGCAGTTTCCAGTGCTGCACCCTGATGGCTGATTGGATGGCTGTATTCCAGATCCCATAACCTGCTGCCAAGGAGCCATTTTTTGCTTTTGTGTAAATAGGGTCAATGTTGTGCAAAATATCTACTCGGGGTGAGCGAAGGCCTTCACTTATGGTCTCCCAGACATCATAACCATCTAGTTGGATGTCTTCATCGATCTGTCCCTCAGCCAGGGAAATCAGAGTGGGGTACCAGTCAGTGATGTGCACAAGTTCTTTACATACTGTTCCCTTGTTTTTCAGAAGTGGGCTATGCACAAATCCAACAGCCCGGATTCCCCCTTCCCAGTATGTTCCTTTGCTACCTCTGAGAGGCCAGTTACTTCCTCCCGCCATTGGCTGGCCGCCATTATCTGAAGAGTAAATGATAATGCTGTTGTTATAGAAACCATATGTCTTTAGGGCCAGAGTCACATTGTTGATTGCTTCATCTAAGCAAGAAAGCATGGCAGCATACCTCCGTCTGTTTATGTTGATAATGGATCGGTAGTGCTCAAAATACCTGCCAGGGGCTTGCAGGGGTGAGTGAACAGCTTGGTAGGCAATATATAAAAATATAGGCTTTGCAGGGTTATGGGAAGCTAAGATGTGCTGCACTCTCTGTGTGTACATCTGTGTGGAGTATATGCCATTGTCATAGTCCCAGGCAGCATTGTCATTTTCATACAAGTCATAGCCACACATCCCAGGGCTGTCACATTTGTAGTGTGTATAGTAATCACCACTTCCCAAAAGAGAACCAAAAAAGGTATCAAATCCTCTCTTGGTGGGCATGCATTCTTTTTTGTAAAAACCCAAGTGCCATTTTCCAACCATATGTGTCGAATATCCAACCTCCTTCAACTTTTGAGGTAAGGTTGCATTGTCCAGAGGTAAACAGTTGGGTTGGGTAGGTCTTATGATAGAATGTTGAAGTCCTGTGTGTATCTGATACCTTGAGAAAAAAAAAAAAAGAGTAAAAACTTTGTTAGGGCAGAATAAAAGAGAGAGTCTACATAAATCAAATAATGATTCCTAAATTAAATAATGTTTCTATGAAGATAAGCTTTAATACAAACTATATATGACCAATTCCACATTTCTACTCTTGACTCAAAAGTTTTATTCTGATTAGCTTCAGATTTAACATTTGAAATGCATAAGTCTAAATGAATGCTTTCAAAGCAATGATTTCACCACTTATTTCACAGTCTTATTATAAAAGTCTTTACAACATAATTAATTCAAATAAACGTCATTCTACTAATTACAGTGTTAATTAAAATAAAATTTAGTCATAATTATATGAAAATTAACAAGAGAAAGGATACACAGAATTGGAGTATTATTATCATTGCTTTCAATTTAGGGACCTCACATTAGCTTCTAAGTGATTTCCTGAGATCATTTATTTCAAACTAGATTTTAAGTACTAAAGACACAGGCAAAAATCATACAAAAATCTCTTGACTGATAGTTGAACAATAATCAATACTTAGTCCCTAACCTGTTAGATCTCTGAAAAGAGAAGTTTCTGACTACACAGGACTTTATTTTTGCAAAGCCATTTTAGAGTAGATGTTTTAGCTAGTGCTAAGAGTTATGTTTCTCCACTAGTAGTTGGAAATAGTTGTTTATCAGTGGCAACACTTATAATGTAGTCTAAGAAAATATGGAACAGTCCTATATGGTAAAATTAAATGGATTTTAATTTCTATCATATTTTCCTTACAGACATTTTTCTGAGGACTTTTGGGTAGAAGTGGACCATAAGTGGGTTCAGATGTGTTTGTTAGTTCATGACATTTTCAAAGCGACTTATTTAGGAAGTTCAAAAAAGCACCTTTGTATTTGTCAATATAGAAATTATAAAAGAATGATGATTGTGGAAAATTACTAGGGTAAATATTAAAGTATCCTTAGAATCAGATTACAAAGCGTAACATTGAAGTAAAAATATAAAACTTTTTTCACAGTGGTTATCCTGAAATATCAGCATGTTATATACACAATGGGTAAATGATTCAATTTATTTTTAAATTGCTCCAATGACTGTGTAATGCAATCATGAGTTCTTTTGGTGTGTTATTTATAGACATACTAAAATGTTTTGTGGGAGCTAAAGTGATAGCTGGTCACTACTGCTGAAGCACATTCATGTTCTCTTTGTCCACTCCACAGATCATTATCCATAAAAGTTTCACAATAACCATAGTTGTAGTTATTTAAAATGTAATAAACTCCCAAAGATACAGACATTTCATAAGCATTATTAGAAGGCATTCAGAAGCCATTGTTACTATCACTTATGAAACCACTGATTTTGCACATGACAAATTGGTATCACCTATCAAGGGAAACTTGGAGAAAATTAAAAAGGGAGGTAAAAATTTTGGAAAGGATTTATGGGGATGGGTTATATAATTAAATAACTATCATATGCAGAAAGTATACTTGGACATTCAATGGCTATTCAATTCCTTGAAAGGATAATTGGTTCAGGTTTTTCTAGGTTTTTTTTTTCCCCCCTCACCTCGTGGTAAAGGCAAAAGGAATTTAGGCTTATGAAAAACTTGAAATAAAAAATGTTTGCGGGGGAAAAGTTTGCTATTTTCGAAAGATGGTATAGTGTTAGGTGATAAATGAGAGTTCAGAGCTATTAATCAACTACATGGTTTCTGTCTCCTCCAGAAAGTGGAATAGTTTTCATATTGGAAAATTTAGAACCAACAACATAAAAGTTTGGCAGGAGCTCTTAAAAGGTATAAAATTTTCAGAGCAGCTTCTGTTTAAATGCTGAACTCCTAGGCCTCACAATGGGGAGTTAGGAGTGCCTTTTGGGGTATGGATAAGTGTATAGATTTTGGAAGAAGTCAGAGTTGGGTTTGAATTTCCTCCACAGCTTTTTATGAGTATGACTTTAAGCATTTCTTAATCCTTCTGATCCTCAGTTTTCTTGGGTTGCTGAGGGTACTGGAAGAGACTACTGACCTCAGTGAGGAGAGTACATGTAATAAACGGTAGCTTTTATTATAATTAGCCTGGAGTATAGAATTGTTTGTTACATAAAGTTTTATAATTTACAGACTTTCCTTCATATGCATGATTGCATTTGACCTGCAATGTGAACATAATAAGAATCTAATTTATTCTTTATGTTCATTTTATTAGGTGGGAAAATAGAGAGGTAGAGAAATTGTGGTATATTTTCCTTATGTCCCTCAACCTGATTCACCAAGCTATAACACTGATTCCCGAACAGCAGAGCTAAGTCTAACACTTATTTTTTTTTAAGAGTTAATATTAGAACTTTCTAAAAAATCAAGGAGCAGAGGGAAGATGCCAGAAAACTTGAAAAGCAAATCTGTTCTAATTTTCCAACAAAAAAGGAGAAAGAATTTGCAAACTGGACTGTGAGGCTTGTGTTGATCATAGAAAAATGTGAGAATGATTTTTTAAGTAGACGATTTATGAGCATTTCAAAAAGAACAAATTAGACAAGAGTCAAGAGAAAAGTCCTGCAGGGAGAGCTTCATTTCCTTCTTTTCTTTTAAAGGATCAACATTAGGTAAATGGCTTAGGACTGATGTAGCATTTGGAAAATGTTCACAGGAAACTCGTCTTATAAAATGATGTAAAATCATCTAGATTGGAGGCAAGAATGATAATTTTACACTTTAATACCAGTTAATGAAGCACAGAAAATTTTATTTTACATGATCTTCTTTAGGCTGCACAGTTCTATGAAGTAGGTAGTGATGTTCCATTGAACCAAAACCAAAACAAACAAACAAACAAAAATCTCCCAAAATCCTCATAATAATAATTTAGCGGATTGCCTGAGTTCCACAGCTTGAATCCTTAGGGTTCACATTGGACTCAAGTTTTTGACTTTGTAGATTCTTCCACGGTACACAAATAGCTAGTTAAACAGCGAGATCCATTTAAAGTTTGAATTAATTTATTTGCATTAATCTGAAGTATTTGCTAATTTGCTCAGTTGAGCAACATTACTGAGTGCATAATGTGTGGCAGGGACTAATTTTGTTATTCCTCCCTCTACAAATCTTCATTATTACCATGTGGGCTGAAAGTAAAGGCCTATTAAGTACAAATTATCTGGGCCCTGGGATCAGGTGGGGATGGACATAGTGCTGTCAATCATGTGGAAAACAAACTACTGGTTCTGTTTTTCTCTTTTTTCCCTTAAGAATGCTAACAAGTCATTTTATTTCCAAAAAGAGACAGTTGAAATCTAGAGAAGAGCTGGCTGGAGTGATGGGCTAGGGCCTGTCACTTAGTAGTAACAATTATTGAGGACCCTCTCTTAGGCCCATACTCATTGATACTATTATCTATGACTTAAATATCTCAACGAGAAATGCTTATTATCTGGGAGGAATAGTTTATATTGAAAGTGACAGAATCATGATTCAAGTAATCTAAATGACCTAAAATGTTGCTAAAGCAAAGGAAATTAAATATAGATGGAAAATAAGGAGAAGTTCAAGAATTGATGAGAGTATGTTAAAAAGATGCAGAAACCTGATTGAAGGTGCTCTCAGTGGTCAAATTTGGGTCAATTTGAGCACCAAAATAAATAGTGGTAATTAAAAAAATGTATTCTCTAAGTAAAATAGGAACCCCTGAGGACTCATATATACTCATACTGATATAAATAAGTAATAAAAATTTGATATGAAAGGGGATATTGACATAGTCTCAAAGTATCTCCTCAAACTCCTTAAACATTACATAGGGAAAAGAAAAAGTTTACAGGGAGATGCTAATAGACACCATCTTAATCAAGTGATTAAAGTTTCCATCATCAGTTATGGGACAAACCAAAATTTTGTAGGATGTTATCATAACAAATATGATGCACAGAGAAAGCACAATATTATTTCTGTGATGTCAAATCCAAAGATGTGTAACCTGAATTCAATCCCAAGCTTATCTAGTTCAAAGGACAAGGTGTTCTTCCAGTTTGAAAGAGACTAGGAGACATTATAATTAAATGCAATAGGTGATTCTGAGTTCAAATGGATGTTCTTAAAGAACTGATAAAACTTAGATGAAGTCTCAGGTTGAAAAGAGAATAACAATGTTAATTTCCTGATTTTGATAGTTGTTTTGTGGCTACCTTTAGGAGACTATCCTTACTTGTAGGAAATATGGAGTAAAGTATTGGGGATACGAGGATATGTTGCTAATTAACTTTCAAAATCATTCAAGAAAAAAATATCATTTGTGTTTTACTTGCAATTTTTCTATAAAGATGATATTGTTTTAAAATATAAAAAAATCTATAAGACAAATATAACTAAGACAAATGGAAGGCCTTTCAATTGAAAAACATAAATTATTTGCCTGTTATAAAAGACTGTGTAAACAGATCTGAGAAGTTGGATACCTCAAACCATGAATTTAATAAAGGCAAAAGACAAAAATGAGAGGTAAAATGCTAATAAGAGAATACATTATACAAAGTACTGTGTGCAAATTCTTAAACATAATAATACTACGGTATACTAATAAGAGCATATCTGGGAAATAGTCAATATCTTAGCCTGTACCCCAATATATACACATTTTTTATTTATAAATCGCACATACATACTATGGTACTTATTTGTGAACATTATAAAATATATTAAAATGGAAACCTAAAAGAATGAGATAAAAATAAATGAGTAGAATTTCTAGCATTTCTTCTTAAATCTCAATGAATTATCTTGCTTTGCCTTAGGGTGCATGTACTCCAAATTGACATCACAGGTAATGAAAGTGAATTGTAGATCTGAGAACCGAGACACAGAAATTGTTTAGCAGGTTATTACAGTTGATTAGGTCAAAGATGATGGTGGCTTGGACTACCATCTAGTGGTAGTAAAAATGGAAAGAAGTGGGTGGGTCAAATGTATTCTTTTAATTTAGAACTGATAGAACTAAACC